CGTGGTACGTCTCCTGCAGTGTGCAGCCCTCAAGATTCTCGTAGCCGGTATAAAACTTTGCATAGGCCTTTTCAAGGAGCAGGGGCCACCAGTGCCCCGTGGGCGAGCGAATGTAAAGCTCCCCGTCCTCCTCCAGTGGGATTTGGTCGTCAATCTCCACCTTCACCCACTCCCTGCCACGGAAAAACTGGAATGTGTAACGCCCGTCACGTCGAACGTGCTTGGAGACGAAGCAGTTCTGGATTACGCTGGGGAAACGCACCAGAGTGGACAGGGCTGTGAGCATGAAGCATTCGTAGTGATTGCCCTGTCCGAACTGCTCACGGGAAAATTCCGCTGGAAGGAGAGGCTGGCTGATGCCGTCTGGGTACAGTTCGGCAATGCGAACCCACCGGTCGGAGATATGCTTGTTTTTTTCCATGAAGACGGTGTCATGGAACACCTTGTCGCTGTCGGGGATCTCTTCAATGGTGTGATGACTCATTTGGGAATTCATCAGTAGTGAAGTCTGTTGTAAACGTTGAAAGAACGAAGTCTCCTATTTTCCTTTTTTGTTATGTTGTTTGTTCTGTTTTTAATATATTTCGTTCTTTTATCCCTGAATGTATATAATTTCTGCTGCTTCAATGTTCACTGTATTTTTTCAGTTGGATGTGGGAAGTGCGATTCCACTTTTCGTGTTTTTGCACTTAATACTTTTTCGTGTCACGTGTGAAGCCTGTAGTTCGCAACACAATTTTCTCGATATATATATATATACACTTATATATGTTTTTCTTCTCCTGTGTGTTCCGGTGTGAATCGTTACTTCTCCCTCTGGTGGGACGGCGGTGGAGTATATTCTGCAAATTGTTGAAAAGAAATAATTGAAAAGAAGGAAAAAAAAAAAAAAAAACACGGTTGTATGTAATAGAGGAAAAACCGTCACAATTCTTTGTTAATTGTGTGTGATTGGGTGGATTAGTAGGAATAAAAAAAAAAAGGAAAAGGAGATCTCAGAGTACTGCGGCAGTGCCATGGCGGGAGAGAAGCGTGAGAAGGGCATGTCAATAACTATGAATTCATACCGCCGTTATTTTCCCCCCAGTTTTCATCACGTTTGGTATATATATTTATATCGGTATATTTACATTTCTTCTCTGCTCAAGTAAGTATCGTTTTTTTTTTTTCCTCTCTTTCTTTTATTTATATATTTTTATTTTTATTTGTTCTTCTTCTGCTTGCACTGCTGTTGCTTACTGTTCTCGCGCTGCGAGTGTTTGCGGGCCTGCCATTTCGCTACGAAACCCCAACGTTTGAGAAGTACCCGCCGTTTTTTATTCCTCCCTGTGCCCGTCTTCGCCCCTCCCCGCTGCCACAGCCACCGCACTCAATGCACGGAGGTGTTTGGTGTCCGCAAGACGCACACGCGCGACGCTGTCCCCGATGCGCAGCTTGGAGGGGCATAATTCCACTCCTGCGGTGGACGCCCCGCATCGACGCACGCAGCTTCCCTTGTTTTCAGCCACACGCAAACACACACCAGACACATACGCGGTGGCTGCAGCAATTACGGGCCCAAGGACACAAAGATATATATATATATATATATATGGAAATCAAATAGGAAACCATAAAACGAATGCGCCAAAAACAATTACACGCGGAAAAAAAAAAAAGAAAGCTCTTGAGGCACCACAATCACTCACTCGGTTAATTCTTTTGCTCTGTCCTCTTCTCTTGTTTCGCACTTCAAGACGGTGTTTGTTTGTGTGTGTCCAGGTGTGCAAAAGTGATTGCATGCGTCGCATGGTAATCCCATCAATATGAATCCTCCTGCAGGCAAACTCCCCATGAATGCCTGACATGAGTGCATGCGTCCACAGTTACGCACCCCCCTCATTACACGCATATGATGCAAGCACGTGTATGTGCTGGGCAAGACTGAGGGAGCCGCTTGGTACCAAGTCGAAACGATACAAAACAAAACAACAACACGACACACACACACAATAATAATAATAACAATAATAATAGCAATAATACACACAAAATTTAGTTTCTTCATTTAAATGACCCCCCCCCGTAGAATTCATCTCCTCCTCCCTCTCACAAACTCTCACCAATACATAAGCGTACTCCTGCTCGCACCGGCGCACATCTATTGCAAGCCAACCGCGGGAAATTCAAAAAAAAAAACTATACGGAAGTTTATAAAAAGCTAAACATAAAGCTCGCGTGCTGCAAAGGTAGCAGACAACCATCATGATGGCATGTCATGACAAGATAATGAAAGTAAAGGCGAAAAAAACAAAAACAACAACGAAAAAATACACAAACAGAGATAAAGGGAGCGTGAAGCAAAAATAGTAAACAAACAAAGAATATGAAAAAGCCAAGAATATTAGTAACGGTCATGGTAATAATATTGATAAGAAAAACAGTCACAGGGTCTGGAGAGGGTCAAAGGCAAGTCAACAGATCACGCACCACTCTCTCATTCTTTCTCTCTCTCTCTCAGTCACTCCAAAACAACAACAACAAAAAAGTAGAGAGATAGTTTTTTATTAAAGTAATTTTTCAAAATACTTATTTAGCAATATTTCTACATTCTTCAACCCTCTTCCATCCTGATGGCAGCACCCCTCCCTTTACTCTCCTCTCCCTGTTTACATCTGCAATGATCCCTCTCGCTTCCCCTCCCCTTTCATTACCCCCATATAAATGGCTCGTTTCCTCACGGGCCGTACCGTAAGCGGTTATCTCAGGCGAGTAACGTATATATATATACATACATGTCGTGAAAGTTTCGGTAAAAGTGAGTAGTACAGTTACAAACAATAAAAAAAAAAATAAATAAATAGTGTTTGCATTTTTCTTTATACATTTCTCAGTATGCCCCAATTGTTTCCCCTTTTCCTGCTTTGCTTTTAAACGGAGAAACAAAATAAATAATAATAAAAATTTCCTCCACCTTTCTTACACTTCATGCCCGTAAAAACACGTATATTTGAGCGCAGAGACCCATGTGATGTCTTCATTTTACGGCAGAAACCAAATTAGTCAGTGAGGAATTAAGAACAAGAGCACAAAGCCGTATTTTAGCTATATATATATACATATACATACATAAATAGATATCGATAGAAAGATACCTGCACGTAAACAAGTATATATATATATATATATATATATATTACCTTCTTGTTCATGTATGTTTTATTGTATTTCTCTGCTTAAATGGTCCCCCCTCTGTTCGTTTTTTTTTTTAATGCGCCTTCACCTGTGGTATTTTGGCTTGCCATTCCGTGGGGGGTTAGGCAGTTTCATTCCCTGTGTCTCAACAGGCCGATTTCCCGTTCCCGTTGCGACGTCGCCTGCCCCGATGACCTTTCCCTTCACGTTCCCCCGTGCTGCGCCTTTAGAGGATTGGGGAAGCGACAAGAATGGCAATATTTGTGGTGTGCCGTTCGTTGGACGTGGCAGAATCCTCGTGGCGATCTGCTTTGGCGTGTAGATATACAATGAACAGGGGCAATTTCCAGTCACAGGTTTATTGGGGCATGCCAGCAAAACAGAATAACGTCCTGCGGAGGGCAACTGCAACGCAAGCGAATGTTCCCGTGCACTCGTCGCATCGCCTGTTGATGCCAAACGTGTCATGTACTCGTCGTACAACATCATCATAACATCATCTTCGGCGAGAACATCACCCTTTTTTATAGACGCCGGATCGGTAATTTTATTCTGACGAAGCAACAAGTGAGCGTCACAGGCCCCGTTCACCACAAACTCAATTCGTTTACCTTCACGACTTCCTGGGGTAAGGATCACGTCTACATCACAAAAACCGTGTGTTACACTGAGCGGCGTCAATGGCATGAAGTTAACACTGGAATCTCCAGGATAAATAGAGACGCTAAACTTGCCCAAACAACCGCGCTTCATGGTGTACGGGATTAGAATACACGTAGAAGTTGGTGGAATCTCCATCCGTGAGCATACTTCCCTCGTATCCAACATGATGCCCTTCTGAATGAAATTGTGAGTTGAATTCGTAATAATTCCACTCAGTACTGACACAGAACCATCATGCTGCAGTAGCGCCAAGCCTGTCTGATGATAATGGCCAACACTGTCAGCATCATAAAAAACTGGTGCTTGGTGACGTAATTCAGCCAGAATTCTCACTGGACGAGAGGATTTGTTCTCCACCAAATAAATCGGATTGTTTCGGAACGTCGTAAACTTCGGATTGCCTCCACAAGAAGTTTTATCCCACTCACCGATAGCAGTGAGACGATCACCGCAGTTAATGTGGCATCGCTGCATGCTTGAGAAATTATTTAGAAACACAGACTGTGGCAGGTACAAAAACTCCTCTTCTGAGGGGTTATAACGGCAGGCATTCATTAACTCAGTTGTCCAGCCTCCGTCGTTCCGGTTGAGAGGTCCGCTATAAAACGGCTCATCAAAGTAGCAGTTGTGCAGCTTTATCACAATGTCTGCGGGATCATTTGACTCCTTCACGGTTTCAATAACCGCAAAGAGGGCGTAACTGCACAGCGGATGGATGCCGTCCGGGACGTGTTTATTGGACATAGCTGTGATGATATCACCCTTGGCAAGATCAGAATGAATCTCACGCCAGAACTGTGCCGACCTAAAATCACCCATCTTTATGCCTTCTGCACGTTTGTCCTCAAACGGAATGTGTGTCACCGGGCGACCCGTCAAGTCCCGCAACGTCTCATGCGGTGTGCACTGATCAAGCCGGGAGTACCCACCAACAAACTTCGCGTAGGCCTTCTCCAGCAATAGCGGATACCATGACCGTTTCGGGACTCGTGTAAACTTCGGTTCCATGTTTGCGTCCACTGGAACACGGTCGTCAATTTCGACGCGCACCGGGTTGCTGTTAGGATCATAAAAAATAAACGAATATGGGCCGTTCACAGGATGCTCTTTTGAATCGAAAAGACGGTCAATAAGTGGAGGATGCCTACTCATGGCGGCAATGAATGGAGCCAAATATCCCAGTTCAAGTGGTGCAGAAGAAACTTGTGATGGGAGCGTTTTCTCCGGCACCACCGGATCACGGATACCCTCTGGGTAAAGCTCACAGATACGTGGCCACTCCTCCGCCATATGCTTATTCGATTCATGGAATTCCTCGTCTTGCCAGCCTCTCTGTTGAACCGCCAACTCATGAACGCGAGACCTGATCTTTTCTTCAATACCACGTATAGCTTTCTTGTCCCTCGGCGTTACCTTCAACAACCTCCTGTAATTTGTCTCCAATTCGTGCAAAATGGGATCTTCATTTAAAGGTAGTCTTTCTATCGGTATACCCTCCGGCTCCAGTTCAAGAAAAGCTCTTTCCTTCGCACGTAGAAGCTTAGCAATTTCGTCCGCACGATCGTTTAGCTTCTTTTCCAACTCAGAAATTTTTATTGCATTCCTCTCCGGGTCCTTCTTCAATTTCCTTCGCTGTAGCTCCATCTCATGAAATACAGGATCGTCCAGTGGAAGATCACCCTGCGGCACACCCTGCGGCTCCGGATGAAGATATTCTCTGTCACTACGAAGCAACTGCTGCGCCAACTCATGCACACGGTTATTCATAGCATACTGTTGATCCTTAATGGCTTCTGCATTCTGTCGACGAGCCCTCATCAATTCAACTAAAACCCTCTCCATATTGCAAAATTCCAGATCACCATTCAACTCCAACTCACTCAAGGAAATACCCTCAGGCTTTGAATCCAAAAAACTCAATAAATGTTCGCCAAAATTAACTGCTAAAAAGTCAACACGATCTGCAATCTTTTTCTCCAATTCAACTAACTCCGGACTATTTTCTGCAGAAGAAGTCTTAAGAAGCTCGCGTCGCCTGGCCTCAAGCAAACACAATTCATTATCATCATTCAACGATAAAGCATCAAGGGGAATACCCCTAACAACATCATCCAGAAAATCACGCTCCCTTGAACGAATATCAAAGGCCAAGTTGCGTGCACAAACATTCATGCTCTCCTCAAGCGCAGCGATCTCCTTCGCGTTCCTGTGCGGGTCCTTCTCGAGCAGTTGCCTGCGCTCCTGCTCCATCGCAACAAAGTCGCTGTCGTCGTCGAGCGGCAGCTCTCGCAGCGACACGCCCTCCGGCTTCTGGTCGAGGAACGCGCGGTCGGCAAGCTTCTTCTCGCGTGCCAGCTCTTGTGCGCGGGCATTCATGCTCTCCTCAAGATCCGCAACAATCTGCACGTTCTTGCGCGGGTCCTTCTCGAGCAGTTGCCTGCGCTCCTGCTCCATCGAAACAAAGTCGCTGTCGTCGTCGAGCGGCAGCTCTCGCAGCGACACGCCCTCCGGCTTCTGGTCGAGGAACGCGCGGTCAGCAAGCTTCTTCTCGCGTGCCAGCTCCTGTGCGCGGGCATTCATGCTCTCCTCAAGATCTGCAATCTTCTGCACGTTCCTGCGCGGGTCCTTCTCGAGCAGTTGCCTGCGCTCCTGCTCCATCGAAACAAAGTCGCTGTCGTCGTCGAGCGGCAGCTCTCGCAGCGGCACGCCCTCCGGCTTCTGGTCGAGGAACGCGCGGTCGGCAAGCTTCTTCTCGCGTGCCAGCTCCTGTGCGCGGGCATTCATGCTCTCCTCAAGCGCAGCGATCTCCTTCGCGTTCCTGCGCGGGTCCTTCTCGAGCAGTTGCCTGCGCTCCTGCTCCATCGCAACAAAGTCGCTGTCGTCGTCGAGCGGCAGCTCTCGCAGCGGCACGCCCTCCGGCTTCTGGTCGAGGAACGCGCGGTCAGCAAGCTTCTTCTCGCGTGCCAGCTCCTGTGCGCGGGCATTCATGCTCTCCTCAAGCGCAGCGATCTCCCTCGCGTTCCTGCGCGGGTCCTTCTCGAGCAGTTGCCTGCGCTCCTGCTCCATCGCAACAAAGTCGCTGTCGTCGTCGAGCGGCAGCTCTCGCAGCGGCACGCCCTCCGGCTTCTGGTCGAGGAACGCGCGGTCAGCAAGCTTCTTCTCGCGTGCCAGCTCCTGTGCGCGGGCATTCATGCTCTCCTCAAGCGCAGCGATCTCCTTCGCGTTCCTGCGCGGGTCCTTCTCGAGCAG